GAAAGTGAGGTGGAAGATGGAAGTTTCTCTGGTGTGGTTCTTGTTAGGTCCCACGGGGATCCATTTTGCCCCTACACTACTGAAAAGAATTATTAATGACTTGGAATTAAATGTCAAATCCATAACTGATGAAGTCTGCATACCTTATAAAGATCAGAGTGGAGCGTTTAGCAGTGATGAGGATGTTTCAGACAGTGTGATCCGTTCTGCTTGATTAGCTGGGTATGAACAGTGTTTGTTACAGCACTGCTAATGATAGTCACGCATTTTGAAACCAAGAACTTAAGACTCTTTTCAAAAACAGCTTTTCAGAAAGCTGTGACCTGAAAAGAATTTTTGGGATTACCAGACTCTTCCTCTGTCTGGCCAAAGTGCTGGCACGTCTGGCTGTGAGCCCCAGCAGTGCTGCCCACACTACAGACTTGAGCAAGTTATTTTAGTCTCTGGCTTTCACAGACGCCAGATTTGTTTGTAAAGACAATGTGTTGTGTGCAAAGCAGAGACTGTGAGAATCGATCTTAGCGCCGTAGCTCGTGTCTGTTGGAGCTCTGTGTCTGGTAAACATTCCGCCTCTGCTCACGGTGCTGAGCACTGAGGACCTGGCTCAGTGAGGCACGGCCGCAGGCAGAACTGGAAAGCACTGGCAGACTTCACTCAGCCGCGTGGCTTGACCTTTCCTGCAGCTCTGCAGCTGGGGGCTGAGCAAGTCTTGTAGGGTTTGAGCTCGCCTGTGTCTGGTTTTATTAATGTATGACAGATCCTTGTGATTGCGTATCTTCTCATCAGTCACTGGTGACTGTGTCCCCCTTTCCAGGAGAACGTTCGTGCTCTGATGAAAGGCGTCCGAGCTACGATGGGATACCGGCCTGGCAGTGGCCTCGTGTCTGTGCCTGCACCCAATGCGGGGAGTGTGGTAGGAAAGCCCTGGAAAAAACATGGCAACAGGAACAAGAAGGAGAAAGTTCGCAGGATCACTAAGCATCTGGAGAATTAGCCGTGCCCTGATAGCCTGCCTTGCCAGGGCAGGCTCGTCACTGTCCTGCAGGCGTGGACTAAGGGAAGAGTTTTAAAGTGGGCATCGCTAACTCCCCTTGGGAGCTCTGCGCTGTGGGTTGGCCTGGGCGGGGGATAAGAATGGGCTCTGATACTTTGGAGCTCATCTTTTCTGAGAGAAAAAAAAGGACCAGGCCATTTGTGTTACCTGGGAGCCAGCCCGGGCATTTGGGCACTGCTGAGATGTCCTTTCAATGGAAGCAGATGGAGCTGTGCAGGAGTGTTTTTTCCTTAAGCAAGCCCTGTAAAACTGACTAAAATCTTTATAAACCGTTGAATCTTAATGAGTGACATTTGTTACCTTGTGAGATGTTATTGCTCATCTCCTGGTTTCTTTCTTCCTTTTTTTTTTTTTCTTCATTCAAAGCTTGTTTGTTGATTTGACAGGACACTTGAGTGTGTTGAAAAATTACTTCAAAGATTTTTATTGCCATCTTTCCTTTTCTACTCAGCCCTATTCTATGAAATCTACTCTGAAACCACTCCCTGTTTCCCAGCCTAAAGCAGAGCATGGAACACCATTTAAGGGAAGCATTGCCTTTATGTCCTTCACACTGAGCTGGTATCAGTTGTTTTTGTGATTTCCTCGTGGTAATTTAAAACACTCTTTTCCATGTGGCTGGCAAAAAATCTGCTGGTGCTCATTTATCCTAAAACATGGTGAGGATTTTACTTTGTGTATTGTTGTGTATGTTGTCTTGCTGCCTGTTGTTACACATTATCTGATCTCAGAAGTATAATTAACAGCAGATTTCAGTATGTACTTTAGTATTTAATGCTAAAAAGATTCTGCTTACTTGGGGTTGGACTTAAGCTTCCTTGTTTTCCTTGCTGGAAAATATTTGTGTATGTGGTCAGTGCTTTTCATTCCTCTTACAGCATGGAGTAATGATAGGAGTGGAAAGGCTCACAGAGTCAATCTGGGCTTTGCTTTTAGGTGGTGGAGCGCAGTAACAGATGTGGATGCTGGTCTCTGATACTAAAAAAGGGAATGCTGTCTTGTAATTTTTTCCTTTGCCTTAATCATGGAGATACAAAAGCAGTTGCTGAGTAGAGCCACAGCAGATGTGAGTCATGAAAGCAAACTGCTTTTGCCTTCGTGACCCTTTGTGCGCTGGTCCTCTGTAACTGATTTCACTGCACTGTATATGCAAAGGATCCCCTGACAGCAGAGCTCTCACCTTGGCTCCTGCTTTCCCTCGAGTCTCTGCATTCAAGTTCTTAATTTCATAATTGGAAGGGAAGATACTTCCCTGCCAGCCATAATTACACTGAATGAATACAGTTGATGATATTTTAAGTCAATGTCCCGTAAAGGACATTGGATTCTCAGAAGACATTATTATGTCTGGCTGTTCTGGAGAATATTTTTGCCTTTCATTCCTGAAGAGAATGTGCCTCAGCTAAATTGGTCTCCTACCAGACTTTCCCACCCCTGTAGGAGTGGGTTGTGCTTTTTGTGCCCAGTGCTATTCCAGGGACCTAATTGCCCAGAAATGCCCCTTACTTTTTGCCTTATCTTAAGCTATTACTTGTCATATTATCCATCACACTAACGTTGGAGCAACCTTCGTATTTTTTTCTGTTCCACTTCTCTCTTGTCAAATCATTTTGAAATCTTAGCTCACATTGCATATACTTGGAGTTCTACTGCTTTGTCAGCAAGATAGTTAGGTCTCTGTGAGCTTCCCTGTTGGATAGGCCATCCCAAATCTTGTTGAATGACTGATATCCAAAGCAGCAGGCCCTGAGAAATTCTGCTTTTTGCTCACAGAAACCTTCTGCTGCAGAAGCTGCTGAGCCACTTGTGGTATCTGCATGAGTGAATGGAGGACAGCATAAATCTGAGCCAGCAGTGTTTGCTGAAGTGTGTTACATGCAGACAGCTGCTTGCTGTGCTAAAAGGCTTTTGCTTCAATAGAGGAAGAATTATAAATAAGAGTTCTGGACCCAAAAGCTTGTTAATGTTTTATGCTGCTATTGAGCAGTAGGCAAGCTAAATAATAGTCAAGGACTGTGGCTCAGTTAGTGCTTTAATGCTTTCCTGTGGTGGTTTGGTCTGTTGATGAGCCACATCTGCCCTGCCTTACCCTTGCTGGGGAATGCTGGGCCAGCAGTGCTGACAGCTCAGCATAGCATCCCTGAGCAGCTGCCAGGCATGAGGCAGCGCAAAATTTGCTGCTGCCACGAGACTGCACAAAGCAGGCATTGTGCCTTGCTGCAGCCACCTGCTGGGTGAGCCTCTTTCTGCCTCTCTCAGTGCTTTCTGTAGGCATCAAATTTCCATTTTTGAGTGCCATTTGCTCACATGGAGGGAGCATGCGGGCTGTGACCAGCTACAGCTGTGAGTTTGCAGTATAACAGCACCCAGAGCTTTCTCTCCCCTCTTAGGGGCTTGCTTTGCTTGCTAGTGGCTTATTTTGCTTGCTAATATTGCCTGTTGTGCTGCCACTTGAAGAGTTGGTTTGGGATGTGGTGGGGAACTCAAGATAGAGAGAGAAAGCACAGGAGGTGTGCCAGCCAGTGCCTGTTTGCTCCTGGATGAGAGGACCAGAAGTTGGGACCCTGGGCGAGTGCTGTACAGCTGTACGGTCTTAGCACTGCCCATTAATGCTTAGTATTTCTCTGGAGGATGCTGAAATCCCCTTTGCTGCCGTTAGGGGACGACCTTGCCCAGCCAGAGACAAGAAGTGTCCGACATCCTGGGACACAAAAGGAGGTCACTGTGAGGGTGAGGAAAAGAAGAGCTGCTCCTGAGTCAGAGGAACTCTGTCCCACTGATTCTTTGTGACTATGCAAAAGGGCCTGTCCCTGGGATGGTGTTGGTATGGAAGGCCTGTGCTTGCTGTGGGGAGCAAACCTGGCTTTGGGCTGTTGCATTGAGCTAGCCATGTCCCCCTGCACTTTTGTCACTTTGGTGTCGTAACATTTGTGACGAAGAAACAGAAATGTTATGTCCCAGTGGGCAATTCCACAGCCCAGCCAGGCTTCTGTTGCTGCAAGAAGAGGGCAACTGGAAGTCCCTGCCTCGCAGCCCTCCTGCCTCGCAGCTGGTTGACCTCGTACTTCTGGCAGCAGCTTCTGGCCCAGGCAGCTTTGGGGATATGCTCACCTGGGCATGCAGGGATAACAGAGGCCATGATCACTGCCAGGGTCTGGTGGGTGGGGAGGGTCTGTGTTGGGCCACTCCAAAAGGTGTTATGTCCCCAAGGGATGAGCACTGAGGGCAAGACTGTCCTGGCTTAGTGGCTGTGCTTCTGGCAGTACAGGATGATGCTCACGAAATGCCACTGCACGGGTCCCAGGGAAACCAGGCAGTCCCTCTGTTAAACACCCTAAGTTTCACTTAGCCAGCACTTCCTGTTCTCCTCAGCCCTTCCCTCACATTGCCCAAGGACGAGGGAGTGCACAAGAAGGATCGAAACCTAAATTAGTTCTGCTTTGCGCTTTGCTTGCATTGCTAAGGAGAAATATAAAAATTTTAGTTTCAATTCTAGCCCGTTCCGTTTTTTTATGGGAAGAAGCGGCTCTTGTCCAGCACTGACTGCTTGTGCCCTCCTTTGAACATGGGTGTGGAATGGCTTTCCCTTACCAGTTGGGATTTGAAAAAGGGACTGTGCCTAGGTACCTTCCTCTCTAGGGTGACTTGGTGCCTCATAAGATGTGTGGTGTGGACCAGAAAAAGCTGTAGCATTGTGGGTGCAGTCATGGCGAGGGAGCAGGCAGGCTGCGTTACAGCACTGGGCATGTGCAAGTGCCATGGGCCACCTGCACGCTGCTGAGGCTGCAGCTGCAGTGTGTGGCATCCTGGGGCCCTCGCAGCCCACGCTGATGTATTTGTGACACACAAAGTACTGCTTTGTCTGAAGCTTTCAAAGCTGTGGGCTGTGCCCTGCTGCCCTGGCCCTGCAGCTGGGTGGGAGGCGGCGGGTGCTTGGCCTGAGCTGTGTCAGAGCTGCAGAGGATCTGGGATGGGGACCTGTGTAGCTCTATGCTGCTTTGCACTGCACAAGTGAGGAGCAGAGCTGGCACCTCTCTCGGGCAGTGGGAAATGTGCTGCAAAGTGAGGATGGGGCACTGGGAGGCCAGACCCTGCCATGGCAGAAGGAGACTTTGCAGAGCTCAGGCTGATAAGAACTCTGCAACCAGGTTTCCAAGGGCCTGTGTGAATTGCTGAGTGGTGAGGCTCAGAACTCCAGACACCAGACAATGGAAAGGCTGGAAAGATAAAGGAGAGGAAATTCTTCTGCTGTATTGCCTTTCCTATGGCGATAAGATAACACACAGTGAAACAAGTGGTGGGCACCCCAGCTGCTCCCTGGAGTGGCAGCAAGATGTCTGCTGGGGCCCCTGCAGTGCCTGGCGGGTGGTCCTGGGGCAGTGTGAGTGGGGTGAGTTTTGAGAAGAAGATGTGATGGGTTTGGTGGTGTTGGAGCACCATTACTGTGCCTCAGAGCACAGAGACAGGCAGGTCTGACATTGATCTGGCTAGAGGCATACTCAGAGGCAGCCCAGATTAGCTGTGGAAATCGCTGTAGGATATTTTGGGCGGCAGAGCTCAGATGAATGATATGGGGACAGCAAGAAGCTGGGGCTGCCTCCGCTGTCTCGGGAAGTCGCAGGGCTGTGCTGCAGGGAGCAGAAGGGTGGGTGAAAGGAGGTCACTGTGCTGCCGTCTCTGCTATGTCCACGCAGCTCTGCTCTGGCCATGACCTGGCCCAGGTTTGCCAGGACGAGGTGGACCCTGATCTGCTCCAGTGACTTTTTTGTGTCTCACTATTATAAATCAAATTTTGGATAGTGGCTGTGCCTGGTGAGGCAGGGCCAGGTCCTCTCGTGGATGTTTCTGAGGAAGCTGTCAGCACTCTGACAACAAGTACTTGTTTTAGGTTGGATATTAGGAAAAATTTCTTCTTGGAAAGACTGGTGGTGCACTGGCACAGGCTGCCCAGAGAGGTGGTGGGGTCACCATCCATGGAAGTGTCCAAGTACCATGGACATGTGGCACTGAGGGACAAGGGTTGATGGTTGGACTTCATCCTCGAGCTCTTTTCCAACCTTAATGATTCTGTACTTTGTGCACAGCTCCCTCATCCTCACTTGAACTGGGGGCTGTGCAGGAACATGCCCACGCAGTGGAGCAGCTTGCAGTGAAGGTAGGGGCACCGTAGTGAGCACCATAGCCAGTGTGGTGGTGGGTGGTGAGTGCAGCACAGCGGGAGTATGGGCACTGCCACAATGAAGAAGGGCCAAAAGAAGGAATTGATTCAGAGACCAGAGGGAGCAGACCCAAGGCTGAGAATGGCACTTATCTCTTAGTGGGTGCTTCATGCCTACAGGGACCTCAGTCCCTGGTGGAGAAGTCATGCCTTTGATGTGCTGTGAGGCTTCCTCATGCTTCTCTGCAGCATTGTGGGACAGGATCTGAGCAGCCATTGTGTGAGGCAAAACAAACCCTTCCTATCGTGTCAAAGACTCATGGGGTGGCCCTGCTTTCAGCTGCTGGCTGAAGCATGAACGCAGCCCTGCCAGAGTCCACTGATAAGAATCTCCTTGCAAAAAGGTTCAAGTCCCCGCTCTGGCCGGTGATGTCACCTTATCAGCACTCAGAGCTGATGGTAAAGGGATCAATCCAAGCCCAGCCGCCTCCCCACCACTGCGCCGGCTGCAAACACAATGCGTGGGGCCCTGCGTGCTCCTTCCTAGCAGGAGGGTCGCACAGCCCAGGCCCCGCGCAGTGCTGGGATGGGAACAATAGTGGCCGTGGCAGTGCTGGCGGGTGGGCGACTCCTGAGAATCATGTGCTTACCCCAGCTGCAGCAGAGGCAATTTGTCAAAGTCCTATTTTCCTCTCACTGATAAGATAGGACTCATGGAGTACAATAATGTCTTCCTGAGATACAATTGTGACTCTTCTACTCAGCGCACGCGGAGGGGAGGCTAATTTTGGCCTCACTAGGCTAGCAGGGGTGAGGGAGACCAAGCAGCTCTCCATGGAGACCAGGACAGGGTCATGATGCTACTGTGCCACTGCAAGTGATGAGTGTAGGCCTTTGGCAAGCTCTGCCCCAGCAGCTTGGGGAACACTTTCCCCCCTGCCCTGTTCTATTGCCCCAGCTGCCAAGGCACGGTTGCCTTGTCCTCACCGAGTGCAGCACCAGTCTGTGCCTTTTGGGAGACACCAACATCCCCAGCCTCCCTGCTGGTGCTCCAGCACTGCAGCTGCACAAGAAGCCAATGCAAGTAGCTCTGTGGTCATGCAGAAGGTGAGGTGCTGCTTGGGGATGCAGTGCTGCCCACTCCATGTATGTGCCCAGCACCTGCAGCTGTCTCTCACCTCAGTGCCGTCACAGCTGCAAGCAGTGCCAAGGAAAAAGCAGTAAAAGGCACAGTTGGCAAAATCTCACCCTCCTGGGATCTGGGCCTTTTAAGTAAGAATGGAGAGAGTGCTGCAAGGAATTGGAATGGGATATTTGGTAGGGGCTGGATCCTGCTTCCCTCACAGGGCAACGTGCAGCACTGCCTCCCAGCAGCACAGCCCTCTGGCAGAGCTGACGTTTCCATTTTGGCAAACTGCTTGGGATGCACTTTCTACACAGCTTGAAATCTGAGCATAATGCTATCTTCATGAACCATATTCACCAGCCTGATAATGTGACCCAACAGAAGGTCAGTGGAAAAGTTAATATAACTTATTGGCTGATTTAAAAAAATCTAATCATCTGTTTTTCCTTTTTCCTGACCCCTCCCCCCGCACCCAGCGCCCTGCTGACATTTTCCACCTATTCCCAAAACAATGGTGAGGGTGGGAATGCTGTGAGCAAGCAGAGCTGAGAAGAAGGTTTTTCCTGTGCGGCTGCTGCTGCATCTTGCTGCTCTGGGATGGTGCAGGAGGTGCTTGAGCCAAGGACACTGGCATGACTAAAGGCTGACACCACCATGGTTGCAAGGACAAATTCTCTGGAAACAAGGCCCTTTGGGTGAGCTCTCCACCAGCCTTCTACATCAGCATTCCTTCCCCTCGGCAGGAAGAAAACCTGGATCAGTGTGTAGGTGGGCGCACACCTTTGCACACGTATGTGGTGGTGAGAAGCATTCTCACGCAAGCTCTGCTCTTTCACATTCCTACCTAGCCACTGTGAGCATGCTTCCACTTGCTTGCCCAAATGCATGGGGTTGAAAGCCACAGGGAGCAGCTGCTTCACTGCTGTTCTCCAGCCACTTGTCTTCTCCTGCCCTGAGGCCTGTGCTGTCTGGACAGCCCTTGCAATGTCTGGAGCAATTAAGCAGCCAGATGGTTGTCAGGGTATGACCTATCCTGAGGATGCAGGTGAGTTTGCCTCATCAGGGTGGGGCTGCAGAGAGTCATTTCTTACGCTAATACTTTACAGATGCAAGAGGAAGGACCTCAGGGAGCAAAGGATGACAGAAGGGATCTGGGGGTTACTTATTCAGCAAGAACTGTTGCTTGGAAGTGGACCTTTGGGGTTGCTGCTGAACCCTGGGAGGAAGAGCACCGGGGAGGCTGTCTTCTGGCATAGGCTTAGGCAAGGAGAGAGTTTGGTAGGTTTCTGTTGGGCTGTAGTGAATCCCTCTCACCTGAGTGCATGGGAACGAAAGGGGTTGCCTGCCAGCCTGACTAGGAGGTGCTCCCCCATCTTCTCATAGATAGGCAAAGCTAAGGCACGGGAGCAGAGCTGAAGCCAGAAGGTGGGCCTGAGCTCCCAGCTAACAGCTTGCCCTGGTGTTCTCCAAGCTTCTCTTCTTGTTGTGCTGTAACAGGGCTTAACTTAAGGTTGGATGGAGAATTTAGTCTGGGTAAAGCTGCAACAAATCTTAGCTGGTGAGATGAGCTTGTGTGCTTTTGTGGCTTCAGCTTAATTACTGCCAATGCAGGAACACTGCCTTCTTGCCAGAGGCTTGTTTTCATCCCTTCTCAGACATCACACATTTACTGTTGGCAGATCTGTGGAAACATTGTGAGTATCCCACAGGCAAGAATTCCTCATCCTGCAGCTGAGGGGCTGTGGCATGGTGCCTTAAATCCTCCTTCTGTCTTCAGAAGCATGTCAGACACTTCTGGGTATTGTGGGGACAAAGTCAAGCCGGTGTGGCTTGAGAGAGTTATTTGTGCTGGAGATGGGGCTGCGTCTTGCACTTCAGAGCACTGTGGCTGTGCCTTCTCCCTGTGTGAAGTCCACATGCGTTATGCAGTGCCTGGTGCTGGCTGTGCTGCAGCCCTGCTCACCGTGGCCATTTTCCGTGATATTGCGGCTGGCCTTTGGAGCTGGGTGGGCCTTTGCAGCGAGGGTGTGTGCAAAGAAGGGCTGTGAGGCTGTCGGGTCCCACCCAGAAGAGGGTTCAGGCGGGAGTAGTAGGAGATGATGAAAACATGCTGTAGGAATGCTATCATAAGAACAGTGGGTTGCGCGGCCGGTGAGGGTGCTGTTCTGGATCATAGCTACATGGTGTTAAAGGCCAGGCTGAATGGGCCCTGGGCAGCCTGAGCTGGTGGGGGACAGCCGGCCCGCGGCAGCTGTTAGGACTGGATGGGCTTTAAGGTCCCTTCCAACCCAAGCCATGCAATGATTCTATGCACTTGTCCAAGTCTCGTGGTCCCCTCTGGGCCAGATCCTATCAGAAGCAGACAGGTGTGTGCAGGCCCTCAGCTGGATGCGGGGCAGCTGCAGTAGCTTCTGCACAACCCACGTAGAAGTAGGTGAACGCAAGTGCTGCATGTGCTGCCTGATCTTTCCTTAAAAAGGTCATCAAAGCCAGGGTGCTGTTTTTATTTTTCAGTTCAGCAGTGCAACTTTGCTATGATAAATATGTCTTGGAAACCAGGAATGCGGACAACACTAGTTCAAAGACTTTTTTCCCAGTGTTGCATATTTAAAGCTGCTCATCACAGAAGAGCCTTTGCTAGACTGAGCGTAACAAGGATTGCATTCTTGTTCCATGCTGAAGATATGAAAGCAAGGCACTGATCTTAGCAGATCTTGAAGAATGTGCCAGTGGTATTTCAGTAATCTAATGCTCTGCAGCCTGTGAAGGCAGCACAGTAACTGAAAGGAAATATCTTTGTTTTTATTCACTTGGCTTTATTCCTAATTCGTTCTTTGATGCCATCAGCTTGGGATAATACATTTTCAGATATGCTTGAAATTAAGGAAATGAGTCTGATTATCAAAGTCCTTTAAACATACTTTCAGGGAGAAATGTTCAACAATAGAGGTATTAAAGGCCCCATTTTCAAGCAATTCTAATATAAAATAAAAACATTGTGCTGCTAGATGGTGAGGTCCATTAGCAGCGTGTGTGTGCATCCTCCAACTTGAGAGGATATCTGCTTTTCCAGTTATGAAAGCTGCTCGATAATTTGAATCTTTCCTCTGTGGTGGCTGGGCAGAGGCAGACTTGTTTAACTGTTTCTTCACTTGCAGCCAAATAATAAATGCAAGAAAACTTACTTCTTTAGGCAAAAGTGATGTTTCTCAATTCTTGTGTTTGAGATTTGCCTGCATTTCATTTATTTGTTTATTATGGTGTGTTGTTTATTATTATTTATTTGTTTATTATGGTATGTCTGTGCTGGCTTGGGTTTTACTGGAATACTTCTTAGAAAAGTCAGTTGCTCTACCAGTATGTACCTGAGCAGTAGGCTGGAAGCAGGCACAGCCTCCTTGCTGCTTTGCTTGGCAGTCGTGGGGCTAGCTACAGGAATGGGAAAGCATGATATTTATTCTATCTACTGTAAATGTGACTGTTTAAGATCTTGCTCCAATAAATGGAGCAATGAATTCTCTTTCTACTGAGACTGCTGGTAAAGAGGTGACTTACTAGATATGCTGCTGTTGTAATGAAAATATCTGGCAAAATAATTTAAAATCAAGAAGAACTGAATGTCTGGAAGAAGGAGAAAAGGGATAGGGTGACACAAGTAAAGAAAGGCTTCAGCTGTGACAGTCTTGGGTACTGTGTACAATCTGCTCTGTAAGCTGTTTCACAAGATGCTCTGGCAGAGAAGTGATAATAAATTGTTTAACGACTTGGACTTGCTAGTGTAGTTTAAGAAACTTTAAAAGGAGACATTTAAAGGCTTGTGGCTGTGTATGACTCATCTAAAAGACTAAAACTGCAATTGCAGATTGCTCACCACCATCTCACAGGGCACTCTGTACATCTGGCTGTGCCCTCAGAAGCTTGGACACTTGGTTCAGGAGCCCCTGTTCCATCCAGGTGCCAGGTATGTGTGGGAGCACCCAGTGCATGGCACCAGTGCCAGTGCTTGTGCCAGCCCTGCTGATCCACTGCTGGCAGTGAGCCCCAGCCTGGAAGTAGCTGAGGTTAGGAAAAACAAAGGTAAAAAAAGTAGGAACAGACTCTCCTTGCCGAGAAAGTCAAACAAATGGGGCTGGATGTGTCCCCCAGGAGTCTCTGTGGTCATCCATGGGGAGGACTGGGTGGCACAGTGCTGGCAAAGGTGTGTTTCCAGCTTTGAGGGCCAGATGTGGCCAGCTGTGTGCCTGTGCATTACAGAGGTGGGTCTCTGAACCTACTCTGAGATAAGGCTCCTATTTATACAGTCCTACCAGAAAAAGCAGGGTGGAACACACTAACATATTAAGGAGACCAAATAAATAAACAGTGGGTTTTGATTTATTTTCTCTGCTACTTGGATATCTTAGTTTTGGCACAAGATGGATTTTGTACACAAATGTGATCTCCTGTTAGGCTTTTGTGTTTGCTGATTTAGAAATCATGTACAAAGGAGGAAAGCCTTACAAATGTTCTAAAAGCAAAAAGATTTTTGTTCTCTGTACTGCAGAAGTATGTACAACCCTTGGTCCTGGCAGCTAGGTACTACGCAGCAGGTAACAGACCTCAGGAATCTATAGCTGAAGATGAGAGATAACAGTGGAAAGACATATAAAGTACAGTAGTCAGTTTGAGAAATGGCACTCACTAAATGCTACGTAGCTGATTGGCATCATTCACATCTGTGCCTCCCAAGGGGAAAGTGTAGGGTCACAAAGGAGTGCAAACCTGCTGTACTGGGAAAAGGCTGTGGAAGGGAGCACTCAGTGTCACATGCAGAAACTGTTCTACTCAAAGGAAGTCATAAAGGTGTCGGTAACACCCAGCTTTATTGGGACCTGTACTCAGTTCAGATCCACCAGAGTACATTCAGATGGAATATATATGGCTATGAAATCAAAGTATTCCTGGGAAGCCCGTTAAGAAAGGCTGCTGGACTTGATTTGAGCATACAGTTAGAGCTACTTTGTCCTCCAGCCCCAAGCTGCTGGTGTGTTCCCACGATTTTTAATCACGCTGGCTGTAAATGGCTGTAACATCTCCAAAAGCAGTGACAGAGCTGGAGTGTGTGCCCTGGCTCGTTTCCTTGTTAACAAATCTCACAAAGGAGAATCAAATGGAGGAAAAACTGCTATTTCTATTTATTTATTATTTCTAACCAGGTTGAAGACCTGATGCTTTAAAAGAACTGAACAGAGGGATTTGTGATAAGACATGATTCATTACATCTTGTGACCTGTCCCTTTCCTAGAAAAGGCATAGCTAGCAATGCTGTCGGAGTGCCAGGGCTGCCAGTCATCTCCTGTGCTACAAACCAGAGCCGTGCCAAGAGAACTGGAAAGCAGCTGGAACAGCTTAAGGAGATGGGTGGAGGGAACATGCCAACCACAAAATTAATTTTTTGAATTAATAAAAGCTTGCGTGGTTTGAGGCTTGTGAAGCAATAAACATGTTCAAATTTGCTGGAGACTGAAAAAGAAAAGCAATTAGGTGCAAGGGAAAACTTTGAGGGTAGATAAGGATAATATGCTGGAATATGCAATGGGTTGAAAAATATTGTGAGAAGTTAATCTTTAATGGAAAATGACTAAAATAATTTTGGTGAATGTACATGTGTGTATCAAAGCAAACCTTGTTTCTCTTATTTACCAGGGAATGACAGAATAAGAGTTTCTGATTAACAGCAGTAACTTCATAATATTCATGATAAACTCTTCCACCAGGCAGAACTTAGTCCAAAAGGTATCTTTGACTTTTCCTCACCACGGTTGTGTGTGGGTACATTTGGATGTCTGTTGCTCCCATTTACACGAGTTGCCTCCGCTTTTCTTTCAAAAGCCAGGCAGAACAATGCCTATTTCAGCCCTCCTGCTTTCATGTGCCTGTGCTGGACACTGCCACGTAGCTGTCTCTTTCCCTGTGCTCTCCACTGCATCTTCCATGTAATGCACAGACTGCACAGTCTGTGAAGGAAGTGCAGTTTTTGGACTGTTTTGTCAACCAACTCAAGAAGTGATCTGAGTGTGCTGAGATGCAGTGACAGCTGTGCAATAGTTTTAAGGTAAGTTATAAAGGTAATGCAACCAACTGCACATACAGAAAAGCCAACAAGAATCTTAGGACAGCACTGCGCTGTGTGCCACTCTCTGGAAGTTACTGCAGCCTCATCCCGTGCACTGAGTGATGAGTTCCACCAGGCAATGTGTTTGGGCATTTAGTGCTATAAAAGTGCCAAACTGCTAAAAATTATGGGTAAGAAAGACTGAGGAAATGCTTCAGTGCAATCCAAATGGAAACTGGCAGAGTTCTTCACAAATGTGTTATTCTGTGACACAATTTCAGTGTCATGAAAGGAGATTTTTCTGGTTTTAAAATAAAACACGCTGCTCAGAAGGGGAGGGATAGGCAACAATAAAGAAGTGCATATAGATGAAAATTGGGAAAGCTGACAGCAATGGGTAAATCAACAGTTTGGAAAGAGGGGTAATTAATTAGGGAAATGTAGTGAAAATATACATAGCCAATATGATAGATCTCCACCCAGTGGTGTTTCCACAAAGCAGAAAGAAAAACACAGTAGTAATTTAGCTGTCAGACACAGACAGCAACACTCCAGTGAGGGGGAAAAAAAAAAAATTATTCAGTGAATTTTTCTTCATGTGGAAAATGGACAGAATGATTTACCTATATTTAATGGATTTTTTTTTTCTTCTTCTACATGTAACAAGAATGAATGAAAAACACTGGTTTATAACCATCTTTAAAACTAGAGCTGGAAAGCCTGCACACGGAACTAGGGGAATAATGTTGAGTCTTTATCCTGGAACATACCTGCTGTGTCCCAGGTAAGCAGTTACCAAAATATGGCTAATCTGACCCCAACCCTTGGCAAAAGCAGTAAGGAAGTTAATGAAGCATGCTGCCAACACATAATTAAACTGTGACATTAGCAAAGTTAACACAGTAACAGAAAATGGCGTTTTAAAAGTGTTTTTGGTAAGAACACATACTGTGGTGAGGAAGGGGATCATTCTGATTTAAGCAAGCTCAGTATTACACCTAATCTGTGCATGGCTTCCAGAAGGGGCAGATTTGCTTCTCCTTTTCTTTTTCTCTTGTTCCCTGATACAGGAGTTATTAGCCTGCATGGTGAATCACTTCAACTCATTGGGCCAAGAGAAAACTTCCTTTTCTACATTATGTTGGCACGGCTTCCTGTTGGCTCACCTTGCTGGCTGACTCATCGTGGAGATGTGTGATTACTGGAACTGGTGCCTAGGAAGAACTGTGAGTGCGCAGCTGGGGCAATGGCCATGGTGCGCTCAGCCTGTTACCCTTCCTGCACCTGCTGCAGTTCCAAGTGATAGGACTTAACCCTGACCAATTCCCTTAATCTGGAAGGAAGGAGCATTATTAGAAAGAAAACAGTATTATATGAAAATAAATACAATTCTGTTATGGCTTACAGACCACTGAATGGCTTATAGTGCTCTTCAAAATCTTTATGTGATGCATCCCAACATAGATGCCTGTGTCTCAGGAAGTCTTCAGAGGCCTGCACTGTGAAAATGTGGCAAGTTGTGCCAGATTAATATTGCTTCATTTGCCTAGCAGTACTTCTTCTGCTTGAAGTTCTTCATCTGCAGGGCAGACAGAGCAGAAACATGAATTCCTGTGCTGTGGTCTCAGTCCTACCCCATTCCCTGGGAGGAAAGGTGACACATTTAGGATGAGAACTAATGGCCTCAAATTGCACCAGGGAAGCTTTGGATCAGATATTAGGAAACATTTCTTCTTCAAGAGAGTGTTGGTGTGTGGCAGGAGAGTCACAGTGGTGCACTGGCGCAGGCTGTCCAGGGAGGCTGTGGAGTCACTGTCTCTGGAGGTGTTCAAGGAGCACAGAGGTGTGGTACAGAGGGATGTGGATTAATGGGTGTGGTGGGGTGGGGAGATGGATGGACTTTATCATTTTAGAGATCTTTTCCAACCTTAATGATTCTATGATCTGGAAAAAGAACCTGTCAGTTACCTGAAGGTATGTTTAGTGGAGCCACGTGAACTTTATATGCTACCTGGAAAATTTTAAAGTAATTTCTAGTAAAGCGCTTGGAAAGGTGGATACTCTGATAGGGTAGTAATTAACAGCAGGAGAAGTCAGCCATGCTGCTTTAGCCCTTTGCCTAGCCCTTTGCCTAGCCCTTTGCCTAGCCCTTTGCCTAGCCCTTTGCCTAGCCCTTTGCCTAGCCCTTTGCCTAGCCCTTTGCCTAGCCCTTTGCCTAGCCCCCTGCCCTCCTGTTGGGCTGTGGACAGCAGGCCCTGGGCAACTTGTGGCCATTTATTTTGGCTGTGCTCAAGCCAACGCAGCCCTTTGCAGGTGGTGCTTCTGCTGCAATTTCCCAACACTTTCCCAAAGGACAATTGCCTTTTACAGGGAGGTTTCCATGAGCTGCTTCCCCGCCCCTCTATCTCACTGCTCCATAACATCCTTGCAGCAACAGCTGCCTTTGTGGAAAAATATCTGGAAAAAGGCACCACAGCCCAGCCCCAAAGCATCGCAGCCCAGCTCACGCAGAACCCACCCTGCTACTCCAGCAGCTAGCATCCCAACGAAGACTCCAGTGAGGCTCAGGCCGCAACGTCCCTGATGCGGCCCCGGCTGCCCATAGGTTTCAGCAGTACCTGAGGGGCCAACACCCCTAAAAGGCCGCAGCCTCGGAACTGCCCGGCCCCAGCACGCGGCCCTCCCCCCCCCCCTTCCAACCCCCGCTTCCCCCCCCCAACACCCCCCCCCCCCCCCCCCCATCCCGCGAAGCCCCGCCCACACCGCCCCCCTCTCTTCCGGCGGCGACGACGTCACTTCCGTGCCCCTCCCTGCCCCCGCCCAGCGCGGCCGGCGCGTGGAGCCGGTTGGCGGCGGATCCGGTCGCGCCTCGCGAGGCAGCCGCGCGCGCGGCGCCGGGCGAGCGGGCGGGGGTGGGGGTGGGGCGGGGGAAAGCCGGTCCCACGCCGGTCCCGCGCCCGCCCGCCGGCATGGGGCTCAGCTGAGGCGCCGCCGGTGAGTGGGGCCGCGCAGGTGGCGGCGGGCGCGGCCCAGCAGGTGCGGAGGAGCCTCTCCGCCGACAGGTGCGGCTGAGGAGCGGGCGCTGAGGTTGCAGCGTAGCCCGGGGGCTGCTGCCGGCGATGACGGGCCCGCCGCGCGCCTCTGCAGCGGGAGGGGCAGCGGCACGTGTGGGGCCTTCCTGCGGCGGCCGCCCCGGGGGGGAACCTGCGTTCGGCTCCGGCTGCCGCCCGGCTCCCCGGGCAGCACAGGGTGCCCTGTCGAGCCGCGCGGCTGTGGTTCGCTTATCGGTGCTGCGGCGGTCGTGCGTCGAGGGAAAGTTCCCGGCCGGGCGCGCGAGGTGGGCCCGTCCGCGTGTGAGCGGCCGTGGCGCTGCCATGCTGCTGTCAGCGGAGCGATTCCGTCCGCTGGGCCTGGGCTGCGGCCCCTGACAGCCGCCGCCGCGTCCTTGAGCCTCTGGGAAATTGCCACCCGCGTTGAGAGACGGAGCTGGAAGCGGTGATGGGGCGATTCTCAGAGCGGTGGCATCGATTGGGCGGCATTGCCGGGTTCCGGAAAATGTCAGGGGCTTGCTTTGCTGTGATAAAGGCACACGTTGGCTTTGTGTTCTCCTGCTCGGTGAAGTTTGGTGTGGTTTACTGGCCCGTTGTTGTGCTGTGTATTTTCCATAATTGGCCATAGCGCTTCCAGCTTCAGCTACCTCCACAGTCACGTTGGTAGCTGAAATGAGGATCTCTTTGCTTTGGAACTTAGAGCAGTTCCAACGCAATGTTAACTATGGAGAGCGCAACTCCCTTCTTTACAACGGTAGGATTTCCTTGAAATACTTCAGGTGAAGAGGCAGAACTTTAATATCCGCCATTCTGGTTCTGGAAGACTGCTGGGCAGCCGTGTGCTGGCAGCACGAGCACCAGGTACCTGCAGGGTTGTGGTTGGCTGCTCCACGCCTGCAGCACTTCAAGAGGCTCTTGTTTCCCCTCAGCTGAGATAGCAAATCCTCCAGCAGCAGGGGCTGCTTGACATCCAGACTGCTTTGTGTGGTCACTGCTCCTGGCTGGCTGTACCTGCTGCCTGCTTTCTCCTTGTGTGTGGTGGTTTTAGAATTTTGTTCTGGGTTTAGAATTCTTCAGAATGCTTTCTTTGCTGTGTGCCCTCACTAGAGCCATGTAGTATTTTCTTTGCTAATGCAAATAAGATCAAATTTTGCATGGCTTGTTCATTCCTCTTGACTGCTTTTTTTTTTCTCCTCAATTTGCAGGTGACTCAGCCGTTGTATGAGATTTGTCCACACACTGGCTCTTCAGACAGGTTAGCTACATTTTTCTGCCCTCAGTTTTCACTACATTTGGGGGAGTTGCTGCTTTTTATTAAGATAAATCTGACTGTTGTAAGGTACTACGTTTCCACAGCTGAACACTGAACTTCTTGAACTTGTGGATGAAGAGCCCTTTTGGTGTTATTTTAATACAGTGCATGTTACAAGTCATGTTGTGCTGAACCTTATGTCCACACATATTGCTGTCATAGGTAACTGCAATTTACCTTTGTTTGCATGTACAATGAGGAGATTTTTGTCTTGGCATGTGGTGTGGCACTAAGGGTACTGCTGTGTACAGTCAGTAGGTATACAGAGGTTAGACCTAATAAGATTATCACAGTGGGAAGATAATAAAAATAAATGGAAGTGCTCACCAGTGTTGCAGTCTTGCTGTAAACTCCACAAGAAGCGATCTCCAGAAAGAAATCCTTCCTCAGTGGCAGTAAACACTTAAATGAGATCTAGGAGAGGTGCAGCCAGGCTCCACCCCTTCTGGTAGCGCAGGTGAATTGCCTTCACCTGTGCTCCCATGGCTGACTCGTTGCTCAGGTGGTCAATCAGAGGTTCAGGCCGTGATCAACAGTTTCTATACATGCTGTTTCTGTAAACTGCTTTTTCTTTTAGTTAGCTACAAATAAGACTTTACAGTGTTTGATGAACATGTACTGTGTAAACTTTGGAACTGTGGAATTGGTTTGAAGATTTATTGCTACTAATCTCGCTCTCCTGACTTCTGAGAAACATATTGATAAGATGGCCTGGTGAAACACCATTGTTGAGGAAGAACTGTGAGGAATAACTTTTACTTTTGGCAGCGTGGGGCATTGCAGAGTGAGAGCCTCGATCAACTAGGGAGATCTGATGTCATTGAAGGAACTCAGCTTTTGAAGTCTTTCAGAAAATGGGTAAACATTTCAGTTGTGATGAAATAAGTGATTTGGAAGACCGTGTCTAGTGTGGCACAACTGAGGGCAGGCTGAATGCCTTCTCACAGGTTATTGTTCAGGCTGGTACTGCTGTGAAATGAACTCTTGCCCTGGCTGCTTTTCTGCCTCTGTACTCTGCCAGCTTAAGTGTTCCGTGGCTTGGAGCAGTGTGCAGTCGAGACACAAAGTAGGAAGACTTGCATTGCTACAGGTAACCTGCGAATGAAGGCATGTCATCAGAACCACCTTTCTGTTTAGTGTGTAATTTGCTGCTACTTACATCTCATTTCGATATGTCTCCAGTCTAGATTAGTGTCTGCTGATTTAAGAAGCAGTGTGTAGGCTAAACTCTTAAACAGTGTTTTTATTGCACTCTGTGCATTGCTATTACAAGTTACTCCTTTTGATTTTGACATTGCTTGGATCCCTACAGTGCTACTATTACCATGGTAACTGAGTGTCTCCGTCTTTTAGAGCAACTCTGTCCAACTTCATGTGCTTATAGGGTATCACATTTGATTTTAGCATGGTGAGCTGTGCACATCTCCAGATCTTTATTTGTTCCCCTTTCATCTCAGAACCCCTTGTAGGGTTCTGGCTGTCCATGTTCCTTCACCTTTCGATTTATACATTCTCCATCCACAAAGCTCTGAGATCCTGTTGACTTTGATTTTGGTTAAAGCTCTATGTCAGGAGGAGAAAGAAGCTTAGTGAAAGGACTGCAAGCAACTCTTCAGACTCCAGTAGAGCTGCTGGACAGCAGCTGTCACTTCCTCAGTGCCTTCTAGAAGTAGTATTACTCTAGGTTTCTTGCTTGGTTTTTTGCAGTAGTGTCCTTCAAACTTCTTGAGCTCATGCTCTCATCCTGTCTTTCTTTCTGTTAGCTGTCCTCCAGAGTATGTGATTATTTCTGTTGTTTTCATTTTTTTGTTTGTTTGATCTTTTCCCCTCAGAAAACCCAAAGAGGGTTTGATGTCTGGGGCAGGTGCTTATTCATCTCTAGCTGAAGAGAGAGGAGGGAAGAGCAAAACTGTGCTGGGTCAGCTGCATGCCATGCCTAGTGTTGGAGGAAGGGCATGTAGCACAGAGGGAAGTTCCATCACGGTAGCT